GATCGATGTGCTCTACCGATATGCACAGGACCTCGCCAATATCGCATGGGGACCACGATCTGCAGGAGTTCTGGACGCGACAAGGCATGATGACATTTGCAGAAAGGTTGAACTTCTCAGTCGTGGAGCGTCGAAGTACACGTGCTTCCATGTGACCTCTGAGCTCATGGGCAAGCTTTTCTCGCCTGCCCTACAGAGGATCCCACTCCCCTCGGAAGAGCGGTTGAGAATTTTGGTCGTTGGCGATTCATCACTCGCATTGTGCCAGTTCAAGGGGCGATCACCCACACATCGTACAAACGTGGGTATCTACGTCGAGGAGGCCCTTCGCCATGACCGCCGCTTCACCTCGATCCATTACGAGATGGTCTGGGGGGCACAGCTCGATGAGCTGCACGCCAAGGCAGATTCATTCCTTGGCCGGAACCCCCATCCTGACGGAGTGGCGACCCATGTTATCATCTCCTGGAGCGGAAACGACGTGTGGGGGTCCCACGGATATCATGGATACACGTGGCACCTCAACACGAAGTACACGAACCGGTCCAAGGAGGAGCTTGAGGCGCTGAATGAGTGGCCGACAAAGCAACGGCTTCGCGTGGAGAAGGCTGTTCGCAATCTGAGGCTGCTCCTCGCGAGGCATGATGTGTGTGGGATCACCGTTCTCACAGGAGACCATCATTCTGAAGTGTTTCCCACAGGACCTGAGTACGGTCTCTGCATGGAACAGCACGCTGACGCGATGCTTGCCCTTGGCATCAACATTGTCGATCCGATCGAAATGTATGGCCATACTAGCAAGCCTGACGACTTCCACGCTGATGCGTCGGACAGGAACAAACAGGTCATGGTCCCATGGCATTGTTCACTGCTCCGTGGTGTTTTTGTCAATCATCAGCTTATGAAGGTTCGTGATCAGTTGGTCGCCAACCAAAGGGATGTGGTGTTTCACAACCACTTTTTGATGGGGAAGGCGGAACCCTTCTTGACGGTGCCACCTGCGTCGGCGCAGCTCATCCACAAGCCGATCGAAGATCCAAACCCACCTCAGGCGAGGGAGGCTGAAGAGGAGATCGTCCTTTCTGGCCCACTCCTGGGGGAGATGGAAGAGCCGAGCATGATGCAGGTTCCCGAGGTCCCGAATGCTCAGGAAGAAATTTCTGACTTGGACTTTGCTCGCCTTGATACGAGACCTGGGGCCGGCTGCGTCGTGGAAGGTGCCGAATCCGCACTCCTCAACGTCATCACAGAGGACATCATCAAGGCCACCTTCGAGGCCGTGAAGGACGCCACCGAAGAGGAGCTCAAGCAGGCCGCCGTTGAGGCACAGGTCGTTAATCTCGACGACTTTGTGGAGGCGGAAGAGCTCCCGGCGGAAGCCAAGGGAAGGGAGACGTACGTCGCCCAACCGGGCAGGATCGAGGGAGCCGCTTCCTCGGCCGATGTCCGGCCCCCGGCTGGTCCCACGGCCGCAATGGAGGAGTCAGAGGATGAGGTCGTCATCATGGACGCCCCTCTGACGAGTGAGGCCACGATTCAGAAGCCATTTACGCCGGCTGCTAAGCCAAAGCCGCCTGCGCTTCCGAGGTGGATGACGGCCGATCAGCTCCCGCCTTTGCCAGACGACTACCGCTGGCTGACGCCGGGCGCACGCGTAGCACTCAGCAAGAAGATCAGTTTCCTGACGCGAGGCTTCGCGGAGATTCGCGCGCCGCACCTCCATGTGAAAGCGGCAGAGGATCACTCCCTTAGATGGGACGAGTTCTTCGAGAAACTATCCCAGATGTGGAGGGGGCTGAGGGTGGAAAACGTGGTAGACGCGTTGCTACACAACGACAAGCTCCGTTTCGAGATCAAGGTGAACTTTGGTCTCAACAAGCTCGTCGTCTTCCACGCCATCCGAGCCATCCAGGGGCATAATGCAACCCTCCTCTCTGACGAGACGGACCTCAATGACACGCATGCAGCGGTCTACCACTTAGCCGAATCCTGGTTTCCGACATTGAAGGATCGGCCCCCGGTGGGAACTGAGGGAATCAAATCGGAGATGTGGACGGAGATGCCGCCGCTTGGATACCACAGCACCAAATGGTCTTCTTTCGGCTCCATCGTGGAGAACGGCCTCATTCCAGGCGGGTGCGGGGCGACCGCTGAGGGCGCACGGAATTTCCTCATGATGTCCCCTATCCCCGCGTGGGAACGCAGGGACCATCAGGGCGTGCGCGAAAACGCGGAGATTGAGTTCGTTGTGGACCTGCAACTAGCTGCTTTGGACGGGGTCAGGATTCTTCGTACGAAAGCAGATGCTGTGGAAACTCCTGATTGGTTGTCCAACAGGTATCTCATTTATGCGTACGAGCGCAAGTCGTTGACCCCAATCTGGCACAACCGCGTGTACGAACAGTTGAGAGTCAGAGTACACAAGGCCAGGAAAGATTTCCTCGCCGGGCGGGAGCCAGGGCCAATTTACGAGGAGCATGTACTCCGGAGGTGGCAGAGCAAGAGCCCCATGCCGGGATGCTACATTGACTTCCTCTGCTCGGAGGCGGAAGACCTCTCGTTCGATGAGTACAAGCACATCTGCAACAACATGCATTCCCCCTTTCAGATCGCGGAGGATGAAAATATCACCGTCAACGGGGAGGCCATCAACGCAGACGACGTTACCTTTCACACAGAGGCAAAGCCCCAATATGTGGGTAACGCTCGATGGGGCTCCCGCCTGAAGACGTGGTACTCCGCGCTGGGGCGCAGGACGGATGTGAGATACCGATCGAAGCTTGAGCATTACGTAATTCAAGAGTTCGTGGATTTTCCCACTCTCAGATGCGGCTCATGCAATCGGGACTTCGTCGACGGGATGATCAATTGCCCATGGTGTTCGGTCCGTATTTCTGCCGAGAGCGATATGGCACACGTCACAGAAACCAAAAGGGCGCGCGATGAAGCCAGCCGAAGGGGAACGGGGATTGATCTCCTCGCTATCGCCCCCCGGAAGGGGTTGGCCATGAATCGACATCGCGTCCGTCAGGGTCGTGACGATGATGACATCAGTCTCCCGGCGGCAGTCAGAGGAAAGTGTTTGGCCATGAAGAAGAGTCTCGCAAAGCGGGGTGGAGGTGATCACTTGCTGGAGCTTCTCGACGAGCCCCTCGATGCGTACAACTACGTGTCAAAAGGCATTGACATCGGAAGTCTCGCCCAGCTTGAGTTGTTTACGCGCCTTCACAATCCCGCACCCGGAGGGGATGCGCGTGGTCGCAAAGAGTTTGCAGGGAGCCACAATGCTGACGCTCGCCTTAGCATCGCCTGGATGCCTGGTGACACCGAGATCGTCTTGAACCGAGCGTTTTTCATCGCGTTCTCTTCCAGGCTTTACATCCTTGACGAGGCGGCCATGCTCATCTATGCCACACAGCAGACGTACTTCGGCCAAAGGTTTCCTTTTTCGATCCTAGGTTTTGATGGCGAGATCTACACTCCGGAGCCAGCCTCGGTCACAGAGCTTGCAGCACAGTTGGCAGAATTCTTCAAAGTCCAACTTGGCTTCGCCGGGACCTACGATGATCCGGCACCCACTGAGGTAACCATGTCAGGGAATCTTCGCATCCCGGAAGGGTTTGCCTCTATGGGCCAGACGCAACTCAATGAAGTCCTGCGCGATACCCGCTTCTACGACAGACGTCTTGCCAGGACTGCCTATGATCCGGAATGGGTCAGAGCCTCGAGGGCGAGGAGTGCAGGCTACATGCGCGCACCTCCTCCTCCCGGAAGGGATGGTCCAAGGGCATCTTCATCAAGACGTTATGGAAGGGCTTCGGCGTCCCCTGCAAGACAGCACTCGGAGGGAGCCAATGACCCCACTCGTGACAGGACCCGATCATCATCGGCATATGGTGCCAATCGTGGAAGATCACCGAGGAGGACTGGTTCCTATGAAGAGCCAACCAGCAAGGCAACGCCGCCAAGACTGCGCTCCGCCACACCAAGACCTCCAGCTGCGAGACGTCAGTCGAGCCAGCAAGATCAGCCCGCTGCCTCACGCAGACGCGTTGAGCCAACCAACCCTACCGAGACGGAGGGAGAATGGCTTCGAGCGCGCCGTGAACGGGTCAATCAAATGATTGAGACCAGGCTGGATGAGCTTACGCAGCTGCTCGAGAGACCGCTTGGCATCACCTTTCCCTACGACGTCGATGGTGAGGAGATCAACGGGCGGGAGCCACGTCATCCCAGATTCAACCGCCTTGAAGCTTATTACTGGGCAATGCTTTATGCACGCGACCAGCACTATATCCAGGAAGAGGAGGTCGTGAACTGCATTCCATCCTTCGGGCAGCTCAATCGGGTGGTCGTATATGATTACGAGAACGTGATCTGGTACCTCAACGGCTGGGAGCACAAAGTCACCGACCCTTTCACAGGTGAAACCACTCGCCGTTACTGAGGAAAGACCTCCACTCGGAAGAGTTGGATGCATTTGCTGCACCAACCGTGGATCATCTTCTCAAGCTTCGCACATGGACACCACTCTGACGAGTTGGTTGCTGAGCAGTAGAAGCCGGTAACTAACCTTTCTTTAGAGTGTAGATGTTTCTCAACTCCCTGACGGGTGGTAGCTACTCACTACTGGTCAGTGGAGTATAGTTTAGGCGAACATTCTTTTGTGTGTTCTTCCAGCTAACGGAAAAGAACGCCTCTACCGTTGCACTAAGTTGCGCGGGGGGTGTAGTTACTGGAAGACACAAGCTGTATTCACCCGTTCGCCGTGGCTCAAGAAAATGATTGTTCAGGGCTATCCGCTGGTAACAATAATAATTCCTATTAAGGTATATGAACCATAAACCCTTTTAGGGTTCATTTCGTCCCCAAGGAAGTGATCAACCCTAAACCCTAAACCCTAAACCCTAAACCCTGAACCCTGAACCCTGAACTCTAAACCCTAAACCCTAAACCCTAAATCAGACCAGAAGTGATAATGTGCTTTTTTTCGCTTGCAGGCCATGCCGATGCTGACCTTGGCAGGCATCTGGGGGCCATCGAGTGGTCAGCGTTTGTTCAGGGAATTAGGGTTTGGGGTTTGGGGTTTAGGGTTTAGGAGGGTTTAGAGTTTAGGGTTTGGGTTTTGGGTTTTGGGTTTAGGGGGTTTAGGGTTTAGGGTTTTGGGTTTAGGTCCGTATAAACAGGCTTTTTCCCCCAGTGAGGGGTTGTTAGACTGACCCATCACCTGCATCCCACCCCAGAGTATTTTCAGAGAGTCCCCTGGAATGCCCAACCCCGGAGTATCGCCAGAAAGTCCCAACCCCAGAGTATCCCCAGAGTATCGCCAGAGAGTTCCTTTTCCAGAGTATCCCCAGAGAGTCCTTGCAGTGCCCAAACCTGGCACGGTTTAGGGTTTAGGGTTTAGGGTTTAGGGTTTAGGGTTTAGGGTTTAGGGTTTAGGGTTGAGGGTTTAGGGTTTAGGGTTTATTTATTAGGGTTTAGGGTTTAGGGTTTAGGGTTTAGGGTTTAGGGTTTAGGGTTTAGAACTGAATAGTTCTTGTTTTGAGAGGTCGAAGTCGGGACCACTAGTGACGACGAAGAGAAACATAGGGGCCCTCTGACGCGTTTTGGCCGAGGCCGAAGCGAATTACGCAACATTTAGGGGTTAGGGTTTAGGGTTTAGGGTTTAGGGTTTAGGAGCCTTGTGGAGCTCAAGAAGCTAAAAAAGAGCAGGGTTTAACCGTTTAAGCTTGCGGTTTGTTCATTTCCAAATGGTTCATGATCCCGTCCACATGTGTAGCTGTTGAATTCGGACAACTGCATAGCAGCACCCCCTTCGCCCTCGGCCCACTCTGCAGGAATGCCGTCCCATCATCGGCACGTCTTCTTGACTGCAGAGGTTCTGGTCACAATGAGGCAAGGTTTGTGGATGCTTGTGGAGTGTGTGTTTGGAGTGCAGGGATGAGCTTTTGCTCATCAACAGAATTGACTCATGTTGGCGGGCGCCACGCTGCCTCAGGGTGTGGGGACCGGTCGTTAGGGGCCAAAAGGGGAGCATCCTCTGCCAACCCAGTCTTCCACTGTGGCACCCTGCATGACTCCCTTTCTGGTTTGTCTCGTCTTGTTTGGGGTCTTCAATGGTCTTCGGTGTAGTTTCAAGTATAAAGCCGAAGTCCATACCTTCCCAGGCAGGCCATGGATTCACCGGCCATTTCGACGGATGACCACCTCAAGCTACTCGTGCGCACGAAGTTTGATCTGCGAACGTGTTGGAGGTCCATTGATACTTTAAACGCCCCGACCCTATATTAACGCAGACGCCCACTGTGGCAGGCTTTGAGAATGTGATGTTTGTAGTTGAAGGTACAAGCATTGAAGCTGTCCTGTGCGCGCATCGGGCATGGAGAGAAGTGCAGGAAGCATTGAAGCTATTCAAAGGAAAACAACAAGGAAAACAACCAGTAAAATATGGTAAAATATGGTAAATCGAAGCATCCTTGCAACTTCGAAGCAAGACGAGGTTCCAGGGCCTCGACGCCTCCGCTGGAGCTCAGCTCATGGAGGCCTGGGTGTTACTAAAAAAAGAGGGAATAAATTGGGGGGGCTTCCGAAATTCGGGGTACCTTATTCTTGGGGTCCTGATTCTGAGGGGAGTCCCACGATTTGGGGGGTTTATCTTAGGGATCCCCTATTTTCGTAAACCCCCAAATCTGATCCCGAGAGTTCGAGCCAGATTGACCGTCGAGGTGCTGGCTGCTGAGCTGGAGCACCGCTTGCCGTTAGACTGGCCCAACCAGCACGGGACGGTGGCTGCGCTGGCACAACAGCCGCTTGCCGTTTGATGGGCCGAAGGGAAGCAAAGTGCCGAATCCGTAACCCCGCAAGTCTTCCTGGCCAGAAGTCTACCGAGAGTCTGTACCTGGGCCTCTATTTACTTACAGTTCAGTAGTGCTCACCCTCAATTAGTAGGACCTACAGTTCCGTAGTGATTACCCTCAACTAGTAGGTATGACCATGTATGACCCATACCCTAAACCCGTAAACCTGGAGGTACTGTAGGTAAAGAGGGTGCCAGGTAAAGATCAGGGAGATCGCCTGATCACGTCTTGGCAGGCTTGGCTCCCACATCATGGAGGTGAAGAAGGCCAGCGCCAAACCCTAAACCCTAAACCTTGAGAGCTCAAGTGTTGAAGCGCCGTTGGGAAGCAGTTCCAAAGGATAGGAGAAGCCACCGAAAAACCGAGAAGCTCCAAAGGCCTAAGCTCTTCAGGCCATGCCTATTGTACTTGTAGCTCCCTGTGCCCGCCTTTATCAACTCATTTATTATATTTTATTATATATAAATATTTTTTTTCTGGGGGGGGGGGGGTGATTCTCAAACTTGTATTGTAGCATGTTCCTGTGCCATGTGCCCTTCAACAGGTAAGCCCAATAGCCTCTTAGGCCCTCAAGAAACTGAAGCTGTGCAGGAGGAGCCTGGCCGAAGCAAGAGCAACAAGACCACGCTGACCACGCCCGCAAAGGCCTGGTTAAGGGTTTAGGGTTTATTTAGGGTTTAGGGCGTTTAGGGTTTAGGGTTTAGGTGCTAGGACGTTGTAGGGAGCAGCGTTGCCCCGGGCAAGTGCCGGGCATCACGGGACAGCAGGATATGAGCGAGAACCAGGTTTTGGGTTGAAGGCAGACTGTTAAGAAGTTAGGCGGTGTTTTGGAGTTAAGCAGGACTAGAGGGCTTAGATTCCTATGTGATGGTTCTGGCATGTGGATGTCCTGGCGTGGCCTCTTTGCTTCACGGGCTTGGCGGGCCTACATGGGGATGGTGAATGGGTAAGATAGAGGGCTTCATGATTCGAATGGATTTTTTTTTGGGGGGGGGTATGATAGTATAGTTATGAATGGGCCATAAGGGAATACTATTCGCTCTTATTTTTAGTATAATTATGAAGGGGCCACAAGTGGAATACTATTGCTTGGTAGCCCAGTGGTACCCTTTACCCTTTTTTGGGTTCTGGGTTCCCTTATAAAGTAGCCAACCAAAAAAAGGGTGCCCTTAATGGTTACTGGGCAACTAAGATTAGTAATTATTCCGACCCCTCTCGTAGATTTCTCGTAGATTCAAAGCTGCCTGGCCTCCGGAAGGCGCCCCAAGTGCCGCCCTTGAGGCGCCCTAAACCCTAAACCCTAAACCCTAAACCCTAAACCCTAAACCCTAAACCCTAAACCCTAAACCCTAAACCCTAAACCCTAAACCCTAAACCCTAAACCCTAAACCCTAACCCTAGAACCCTAGAACCCTAGAACCCTAGAACCCTAGAACCCTAGAACCCTAGAACCCTAGAACCCTAGAAACCCTAAACCCCACTCACGCCCCCAAGCCCTAAACCCTAAACCCTGAACAAGTCTGGTGAGGACGCCAAGGGGATCAAGCAGATCGAAGGCAAGGGCAAGAATGAGGCGGGGGCAAGCTCAAGAAAGTGCCTTATTCGGGTTTAGGGGTTAGGGCTTAGTAGGCTAAGGGTAAAGACCTCAGTCTCCAAGTCCTATGAACCATGGAACCATGTGGTGGTTTCTCTAAAATCTGGTCCTTCTTGGATTCCTTGTAGAACTGACCTTGAAGTCAATTAGCTTCTGAAGCTTCTCGAGTTCAGAGTGGCCCTGACGGAGTTAGGATTTTGGGTTCCGGTCGCGTGCGCCCAGCGACAGGAGTTGTTCCGGTTGAGTATGATGCCCTTGCATCGCCCACATCCAGAAACTCCAAAGACCCCTGTGAATTTGGTGTCATGGCTCCCCAAACAGGACCCCTCTACCGTCGTTCTTCGTCCTGAGCTCTAAACCTGCTGCACCGTTGCGGGATGCTAATCCCCCTAGATCGAGACAAACAAGCCCAGAACGCACAAGCATCATGTTGCGAGTGCTGGGCGGAAACGT